CGAGTGGGGTGTTACAGTCCTACAGGCTAAGAGGCCACATCTGCTTGTGGTTATGCCTGCGTTCTTGTGCGTCAAGCAACTAGGGGTACGTTCACTGATCTATTATAACTTATCTATTCGCATTAGTTCAAATCTTTCCTACTAGCTTGCCAGTACCCCTGGGGGGAGAGAGGCATTGTGGGAGTAAAAAAGGTGTCTCGGCTTGGAACACAACAACATGGCGGTCAAACGTCGGGCATGCGCAAGAGATCAATTATTGTCGGCTGTACGCCAATTTCCCGCGCAAAAGTCAATGGAAAACACGAAAACAATAATAAATCTCGCAAAATAAGCGAGAAAAAATTGGAACGTTCATAGAAATTTGTACAAGGAAACGAAGAGAGGGAAAAGGAAACCGAGAGAATTTTCAAACACAAAGCTTATTCAAGTACACGTATCCTGTTGATTTTCTATTCTGTTTTGAATTTTCTATTCTGTTTTGAGTTTTCTATTCTGTTTTGAGTTTTCTATTCTGTTTTGAATTTTCTATTCTGTTTTGAATTTTCTATTCTGTTTTGAATTTTCTATTCTGTTTTGAGTTTTCTATTCTGTTTTGAGTTTTACCAGAAAGGTTATACGTTTTTAAAACATCGTGAGTTACTAGCTGGTGTGGTTGTTTGTAACTAGTGCGAACTCGACTCAACAAACTAGAGCTTTACTTCAGACCCTTGAGCCAGAGTCTAACGCGCTAAAACTGGGGCATCTTTTGCCTTCTTTTTGTTTGTAGGAAGTTTACCGAATACCGAAGAAAACTGCAACTCCAGTAAGTATTATTAAAGTGACACTCGAAACAGTGGGCATTTTTCCTCTCCGTTTTTATTTATTTATTTTGTATTTTGTCTTCGTTTTAGCTTTTTTTTTAAAGCCGATCGTTGATGCAAAAGGAGAGGGTGAAACTCTCTTGTTGAAAAAAAAGAGAGTCTATTCTTAGTTAGCCAGAGTGTTGGTATTCGGGTGTCGGATTCTGATGAAGTTACTCAGAAACAAGATTCGAAATCACAGAACATGATGCAGACATTCGGTTATCAACAGCGCATGAGCGTTGGTGTGGAGCATGGGATGGGCTCTTTCCAACATAAACCCGGCCGCAGCAAAAAAAAAAAGAAAAAATGGAATCAATTGTAGAACTTATTCTAGCAACAGGGAAGAAATCCTCAAGGATTGGTAGATAAAAACGCTGGGAACTTTAGCGTGAATCCTCAAACAAACTTAAGACCTCAGCAAGGTACGGCAACCCAGTGGAGAGGTCAGTCGCAAAACCCCCCTGCGACTTTCTAAATGGGAAACCAATTCTTCTCAGCAGCGGACCAGCAGTTGGACATGATCAAGGACCACGGCCACAAAGTATAGTTTCAGGAAGTTTTGTGGGAAATTTCTCTCAACATCCTCCACCACTACCAAACTTTAATGTACCTCCTCCTAATATGTCACCTATGGAATTTTTTCGCAAAGTTCCACCGCCTAATATCCGTCCGCAGACTCATCCAATGATTCCTGAGCAGCTACAGCCAAATCCACTTATACCGCCCCCTCAGCAAGTACCTCCTCCACCCCTTCAGAGTAGTCAATCGCAGTTCTTTCCACTCAGTCAACCTACCCCCTCTTACACTCGGCTTCCTCCTCTGCCACCTTTTCAAGCCAATGTTACGACTCCACCACTAACACAGTTTTCACACTCCAACCCTAACCCTATTCAAGAGCAATTTCCTCAAAGCATCCAGGCTGCTTTTCCACCAGAGCAGAATCAGTTTCAGTTTAATACACCCCCTCCAAACCTCAACATCGCGGCCGCTCAACAGGGGAATTAAGCCGGAAATATACTATGGCCTCTACAGCAGGTGACTGATCCAACAGAAAGTGTACCACACCCCGAGTTGGGGTCGCTCTCTGTTCAAACTGGAGCTGTGACGACATCGATGTCCGATGCCTTTGAATGCAGAGAGGGCTTTCCTTCAAATTCAGAACCGTGCACGCCATCACCTGTGAAACACAAACCACCGGGGCATCTCCCTCCACATTGGAAATCAGCCACCGATAGCCAAGGAAAAGTCTACTACTATCATGCCCTAACAAGGTGAGGAATCTTACTTGTTTGTTAGAACTGTGGCTTTATTATTGCTCAATGGCCACTCTGAGTCCTTGGTAAATAATGAACTGTTGTGTATCTGGGTTTTCTGTCATACGATAACTGTGACGAGTTAGTTACTTCTAGGTCTTGGAAGCGTTAATCATCTATTGGAGAATGATTCTGTTGTTTTCTTCAGCAAGTAACATCGCTAGAGCCGTTAAATTTTTATGAGAGAGTTAAAAGTGTGTCCCGGGCCCTTGGTCAGTAGCCGTGCACCAGATGTCTTCTTCCATGTATCGTTTTCTTTTATTTTCTTTGTCGACCATAATTTTATTCCTGGCGACTATCGCCCAACAGCGTCTACGAAATAAAATTGAAAATGTCTAATGGAGAATTCCCCCCCCCTTCCTCAGTGATCCTCATATTTAACTTTCTTTCTTTTCGTAGGAAAACTCATTGGGATGTTCCAAGCTGGGACAGCAGCCCCTCATCAGAGGAAGAACACCCTTATGTTGTCCCAGAACCTGATCATACAAGTATTTCAGCTCACAGCTACGTTGATATGGACGAGGTAAGGCAAACCAGCAACTTGATTGTGGCAACTACTTCCTTGTCCACTCAGAATGAAATCTGAAGTCAACTCTTCTTTTTATTCCTCCAGGATTCACCACCAAAACCAAAAATAAAGAAATTAGCAAAGGCTCCTACAACACTTCCGGAGACCCCCCCTGAAAGGCCAACGCTTACCTATACCACAGCTCCAGCAGATACCACTGCACACAGGAGGGGGGATCACTTGCTGAGAGATGGTACCTCAAGCAGCTCCTCGTCACACCAGAGCAAGAACAGAGAGCTTCTTAGAATGAAGGTCAGTTGAGTCCGTCTCAGTGGTGACGCTACCTTCTCAGAGCCTGTGACGCCAGTGTCACGCCATGGCCTCTTTCTCAATATGTCACGCAATTTTTATCGGTTTCATCATTGTTTCAGCATTGTTTCGGATGTACTGTATATCTGTTTACTAACTGATGTATTTTCGTTTTCGATATTTCTCTCCGCAGCTTTCTAGTGTTAACTAGTACATATGCTTAAAGATATTTTAAGGAGATAGTTAGAATCAATTTTTTGTATGAATTAGGCTATTCGTTCTCAATAATTATTGAATCAAGCTTTTCACCTTACTGATTGTAAATTAACTCAGAATAGCTTTCAAGGAGAGTTGATAAACTGCTCTATTGAAAGCAAAAGGTCCTAGTTCCAGCCCTGTCCAGGCCCTTCAGTCCATTAGTTCCTAGCGGGGAGCTCACCCAATCATGAATTATTCACAGACGGCCGTCCTTACGTGCGTACATTAATATACCGATAAGAATTAACGGGACGGCTTGCGCTGGAAGAAAACATTGAAAACTGCGCTCAACTTCGTGCGCGTGCGATTGTGTGAGTATCGATTGAAGAAAAACTCCATTTTACGACATAATTGTTCACTAATGTAGCTAAATAATGCATTGGTTCTTCTTTAATAAATACCATCGACAAAATGATGATACAACGTAAAACAGAACAGTATCGCAGATTGCCGTTCGCTGAGTACTTGTATTGTACAGTTGAACCAGCGTAATATTTGTCCTAACAGTCCTAAGAAGAAAGATAATCTGCGATGCTTTAATTACTAACATTGATTCCGGGAAATAAAACATGAAATATGTAAACTTTACTTTAAGATTATTCTTGGTTTTACTTGGTTGGTTCCGTTTTATGTGACCACCCGGCATAGCTGAAGACGATACACAGCAACAGACGGTTGGGACTCAGTCAAGGGTGACCACGACCGCTTAACCCGTTACGCCCTAAGATCATTATTCATCTTCTCCTTACCGTCCTCCATTCATTTCTTAAGGTGTTAACATGGAAAATTTGTTTACCAATCAAGAGGTTCTTTAGTTGGTGATCATTTCCTTTATTCTCATGACCTTCATGCATGATTCAGAGGTAATACTGTAGGGAGAAATTACATGCTAGTCACTCTTAAGGGTGTAAGGATTAATATGCGGTGTCGCTTAAGGTGTACGAGGAAACGAGACTTGGTGACAGTCCACCCACGGAGAACTTAAATTTGCAATCGCGGTGACCGATTTTTATCGTGGGAAACTACCTCGGGGGAATTTTAGCTTTTGGAGCTGGTATCGGCCACGAGAACAACAGGTTTTCTCGTGAAAGCTATCCTAAAGTAACAAAATGGGAAACGTGAAATCCTATGCAAGTGAATCAATCAGCTCTTGTCGGTGAGTACGTTGCTGATCACATATGTGGATTTATATGTTATCTCGTGAGACATGTGACGTTAGGCAATATGCTTTTTTCATTTATAACTTGCAATGCCGCGATTTGGAACTCGTATGGGTATATTTCGGTTTTTTGGAATATTCAACAATTTTCTCCCAAGATTCATTTTTGTCTTAGAACCAGCCTTCATTCCGACTTAGGGTTGTAAATATTGACTCAGATTGGCCTTTAGCTAGTGTAGTTAAGAAACTACTGTGCTGATCAATGAAAGTATTTGCCTATTCGCCCATCAAAAATTCCTGGTTCCGCACCAGATCAGGGCTTTCAGCCCATTGATTCCTGCGGTAAGCTCATCCATTCATGAATTACATATCGATTTCAAAGGTATGTTAATTAAGACCCACTAGTTCTGAAGAGGAAAGGAAGAAAGGCAGGGCTGTGTAGACTGTTAAAAAAATTATTTCAGACACCTTTCCTTCTTACTAGTGAGAGGGAGTTGTGAGGGGGGAAGATACAGGGAGGCACCGCGCTATCACCACAATTTTATTCCCCCCCCCCCCCCCACCCCAGCCCCTGCGTCCCCTCACCTCTCCAAGTTTTTCCACCCTCTAAGATGGCCGAGGTGAGATCGTTCTTACTTCTTTTTTCGGTTATAATATCAATGGAATTATCCTTTTCGGCTAGAATCGCAGGTCTTAGCGGAACTTCTTCGGGATCTCATTATTTTACGATCAAAAAGGTCATGGAGGAGTTGTTCTCCCGAGGTCACGAGGTGAGAGTTTCCTTCTTTCACATTAGTTGCGGTCCCAACTGCAGTAAATATATCCTTGAAACCTGCGTGTATCGCTTACTTAAGGGAAATTTTTTACGTGGGAGAATGCTCACTACTTCGCAACCTGTAAAACTTTGCATTTGAAACGTCGATTCCTCTGAAGGGCGAGCAAAATCTCGGATCTCGTGACTCGCCGTTTTGGCCGGCAACGAAAGAACATGGCGATCACACCTCGTCATCAAATCTTCGCGCCTACTAATTTCTCCTTCAGTGTGCTCACTCTCTTCATCGGCTTCAGAGCAAAGGGTCCACGGCTCAACTTGTAAAATTAACGTCGATTTCTGATAAGCAGACATAAAACGTATGCCCCAGGGACTTCTTTATCAATGCGACTAGTTGAGCAACAGTGTCATGCTGCTGCGCTAATTAAGACGTGACGATAGTTTTAACACCAAGCCATTATCTTTCGTTTTACCTCATCTCCCTTGCCCCACTAAAGGCTTGAACGCTTGTTTGAGTTTTTGAAACGTCTCCAAAAACTCAAACAAACCCAGACACGCACTGGCAACTACCATCTACCATGCCTATTTGTCGAGGGAGTTACTATGCAACATTCAACTTTAGTGATTTCTCGATTTTTGTTTGTTTTGTTTTTATTATTATTTTTTTAGCCCTGTTCTTTTTGTCTTTTCTTGAGTGATCACATGAGTAGTTGTTCGGAGCGCCGTAATTTTTTTCAAGTGGAGGTTGAATACTTCACAAAGTTTTTTTAGTTTTCTTACAGTATAATAATACTTTTTCTTCTTTTCTGATGTAGGTGGTGCTTGTTCGACCAGTGCTTCGTGATGCACCACCAAGTAATGAGCAGAAAATTCCCCAAAGGACATTCCTGACACCATACGACGAAAAAGATACAGAGAATAAAGTGAAAACAGCCATGGAAGGCAAATTGTGGAAGACAATAAATAACTTATATGAAATGCAAAGAGTCAATTGTGAAATCATGCTGAATGACACAGTGCTACTTCAAGAACTGAAAAGCTTTGACTTGATTGTTTATGAGAGTTTTTCCTTCTGTGCTGTTTTGGTCTCTGAGCTTCTTGGCATTCCAAAAGTAATCATATTTTCTGGTCCTCCCAATGGTCCAGGAACTTTTGCCCATAATGTTCCTTTTCCAGTATCATACATTCCAGCACCAATGACTTTATTTACAAGCGAAATGACGTTTTTACAGCGTCTTGTGAACTTTGGAGCATACAACTTCATACAGTCTGCAGAACAAGTTTTAATTGCCAGGTACATGGGTTCTCTGAAAGAGGAATACAACATCACTCCTGGGAAGAGCTACCAAGAAGCTGCTGGCAATGCTGAACTGGTGCTGTTTCTTGCTGATTTTGCACTGGAGTATCCACAGCCTCTTTTGCCAGGTTTGTCAAATAAATGGAAAAGGCTCTGAGCAACTGAGCACTTACCCCTTGCCTGACCAAACAGCAATCAACTGATAACAAGTTGAGTTAAATGTTGGGTCAGGGGAGGGGTAAGTGTGTGGCTGCTTAAATGCTAGTATTAATATCACTCTCATAATTAAGAGAGCTTAGAGTTGGCAATGGTTTTAAATGTGTCATGTGATTTCATTCATGATATGTGAATTTTACAGAAAGGCAAGTTAAACTGAGATTTGAAACATTGAGTTAAGATTAGGTGATACATGAATTTTTTCTATCCAAAATTCCTGTGCATGACCAGATCTGGATCCTGGGCCTTTGGTACTGAAATCCAGCAGATGGTTAATTTAGATTTTGAAATTTATCAATCAGGGAATATTGTCTAGATCTAATGGTAGGCTAAGTATCATTTGTCTGTAGTGTTCTGGCCAAAGGGGAGAGACTGGTGTCAAAAGTGCAGAAGGTGGGGGAGTAGGGTAATGTATAGGTATTGAGGGATCTTCAACCTCACCCCCTCCCCCACATATTTCTAAGAATGAACCAGTTAGCACTAACTGTATATCTGTTTGTCTTCTTACAGGTCAAATTATGGTGGGAGCCATTTCTGCAAAAGCAGATCCTGAAACACTCCCCCCTGAATTAAAAGATTTTATTGACAGTGCAGGGGGGCATGGGTTTGTCATTGCCTCTTTTGGGTCATATGCGCAAACAATCATAGCTAAGGAGAAGATCGATGTCTTGGCTGAAGCTTTTGGAAAGGTGAAGCAGAAAGTCATATGGAAACTGAAAGGTATGTAACCTAAAGTAACTTTCCAAAGGGACAGATCTGGGCCCAGTTGGAAAAGGGGCAGATAATGGTATCTAACGGACAAGTGATAGCAAAATGTATAGGGTTATCCACCAGATAGAAATTTATCTAGTGGATAGCGCCATGCAACCTTTCAAATTGTCACTACTGTGTGTCAAAAGAATTTTTGTGAATAGGGTATGGAAGTCATTTGTTTGATATCTTATATTACTAAAAGATATAATTGTTGTGATAATTATTATTTCAGGCTACATACCCTCATCTCTCAGGCAAAACATAAGAGTAATGAGCTGGATACCTCAGAGTGATCTGTTGGCTCACAAGGATATCAAAGCTTTTGTATCTCATGTGGGACACAACAGCCTTTATGAGTCAGCATATCATGGGGTGCCTGTGGTGGCTGTGCCCTTGTGTACAGACCAATTTTCTAATGCCAGGAAGGCAGAACACTTTGGACTAGCAAAAGTTTTAGATCACAAAACCATGAATGCTGAAGAACTTTCAGAGGCAATTCAGCATGTTATTGATGAACCAAGGTATATTTATAGAGTGATTTCACTTTCCTCTGAACTGTTAACCCTTACTCATGAGTAACCAAGACAGGATTATTCCTTCTTGATGAGAACAAAGAAAAACA